TGAAGGGACAAGTTGAAGGCCAAGTTTACCACAGGATCCTACAGATGGCATTCTCCAAGTCTCTTGACTAGAGAAACTTGCTGATAAAATAAATCAGCAGAAATGATAGATGAAGATTTGAACTTTGCACACTGGCGCAGGCGCAGAGTATGACACATCCCCATGGCCTTGCTCTTCCCGGGGGTGGTGATCCCTGCAGGGGAAGGAAAACTAGTTATGAGCCTGTTTCCCAGAAATGGTCCTAAGGGAAACCTTTTGGTACTTCCCCTAGTACCAGTCCAAAAGACACCCATGGGCTTGGACAGCCCTGTGCTTTCCCAAACAGAGTGAGTCCTGGCCTCTATGACCTCACATAAGGGTCACTGCCACGGTTATGGCTGTGACTTACTTCTGAGGACAACACTAGGATTTATACCCAGAAGAAGGTGGGTAGGGATATATTTCAGGTAAATGACTGCAGAAAATTCTTTGGATGAAAATGTGATCTCACACCAGTGTGTGGACATGTGAGGGGCATTATAGAAAAAGGGTGACTAAGTCACAATTCCATGTCATGGATTTTTGATATACAAGACAGATGTGGTCTTAAGAAGAGTTGCATTAGAAAGGAGCAGAGAGACACCTCACTGAGCATGGCTATGCATGACATGCAGGGAGAGGACACCATCCCCACACAGGAAAGAGGCCTTGTGAAGATCTGCACAGCCCCTAGTGCCTTAGCAAGACATCCTCTAGACACATAAGGAACAAATCTCTGCTGTTTCCTTGAACTCCCTGTGATATTCTGTCATGGGATCTGACCACAGAACGGGATGAAAGGCTGCATGACCCCTTGTTGGGACTCTCTTAGCTCTCTCTGTTAGAAGCAATAATCTTCCCACATGAGCTCTTCAAGCCTCTCCACCTATAGGCAGAGTCAGATATATATCAGGAAAGACTTCCCAACCACCTTCTCTCCTACATATTTGATGTATTTGTACAATGTATAATTTATTTCATCTGGACTGTGTGCTGTGTGTCTCTGTGTTCCTAAAGGACAGGTCAATGATGTTCTGATTACATTTGACATGACAGAAAAGGACACCAAGTATTTTCCTCTGTCAATATCAATCTATCTATTTTTATTTTCAGAAAATCTGACCATAGACAAAGGCTAATGACAATGTAGCTTTGGACATACATGGATTCAACTACCTCAAGCCTGAAGAGAAACAGGTACAGGATCCAATGGGGCAATGTACCCAGGCTAAAATCTGGACACTAAAAAGCCTATCAAAAGTAGTGAAGGCCAAATATGGACCTTTAGAATCCTGAGCTAAAGGTTGAGGTGAAAGTAGCCCAGGTATAGGCATAAACTTAAAGATGCAGGAACTCAAATAAGAGGCGTTTCCTGGTCTCTCATGGACCATTGTCCTGCCAAGGCCCAATGCAGAAGAGAAGTGTGCCTGGGACAAACCCTGCAGTGAAAGAGGCCTGCACAAAAAAAAAGTATTGAGTGGGCTGAAAGTGGACCCTAAAGAAGCCCAGGCCCAAATCTAGAATAGAGTGGACCCTGGGCCAACCCTTGACCACGAAAAGGGCAGGTCGATGGACAGATAATATATTGACATGGGTAAATTTTCAAATTATAGAGGCCCAGGCCAATCCAAGAAGAGAGGCATGCCTGGGCCAAACTCTGACCCTGTAGAAGCCCAGATCCAAAGCAAGAAGAGAGATGGGCCTGGGCTAATACCTTTCCCTGAAGAAGTCCAGGTCCAAAGCAAGAAATGTGGGCCTGGGCCAATCCCTCAAAGTTAAGATACTTAGGCCCAGAAAGAGATGGCATATGGGTCTGGGACAATCCCAGAAATAAAGAGGCCCAGGTTAAACTACAAAAAAATGTATGCCTTAGCCAAACCCTATCCCTGAAGAATCCCAAGACCAAAGCAAGAAGAGATATGGGCCTAAGCTAATACCTTACCCTTTAGAATCCCAGGCCCAAATGAAGAAATATGGGCCTGGGCCAGTCCCTGAACCTTAAGATGCCTGGGCCCAAAAAGAGATGATATATGGGCCTGGGACAATCCCAAATATGGAAGAGGCCCAGGTTAAACTACAAAAGGAAAATGCCTGGACCAAACCCTAACACTGAAGAAGCCCAGACCCAAAGCCAGAAAAGATATGGACCTGGGCTAATACCTTACCCTTGAGAAGCCCGGGCCCAAAGCAAGAAGAGTTGTGGGCCTAGGCCAACACCTGAAATGACAGAGGCCCAGGGAAACCACGAAAAGAATGAGCACAATCAAATTCAATCCCTGATTCCTAGTACAATTACTGAAGTAAAATCATTCTGGATTAACCCCTCACCAAAGAAACCTGGGCCCAAACAGAGCACTGTGCCCATACCAAATCAAAAGTGAAAAACATGTGGTTAGAGCATATACCATGAGGCTCTCTGATCCAAGGCCTTAGTTTCAATTGGTACAATACAACCAACCAGGTATTAATGCAGACATATGCCAGCTTGAACGTTGATAACCTTGGACTCACCCACAATACTTCCTGTACTAATGACTGATATGGTCAACCTGAGTATCAAATATGTGCTTCTCACACAGAAACTTCATTCAGTCCAGGCAACATTCTCAACACATGTGAGCAAGCATGATACCCTCACCATAATACGACAAGGGCTCACTAAATAACTGAGTGTAGACCAGTGTAGACATGCAATACCTAAAACTGTGTTGTGCTGCACCCTGTAGTGTCTGACACAAGGACTTATCTTGACTTAGACTGGTTGTTTCAGAAAGAAGTATTTCTCAAGTGTACCTCAGGCCACAGCCTGTAACCAAGAACCTTGGACTAATCATAGTTGGTCTTGTTCTAACTAACATTTGGACACATCATATCCTTCAAGATCCAGATCTTGATGATAACCTGATGATTAATACAGGTGCAAGGACTTACACAGACCTCAAAGGAACCCGGCTGCTCCTTGAACCCCAAGAGCCTGGGCTAATATCATCATCAAGGGTGTGTGGACTGTACCTTCTTTCTATGCAATCCAGGACAAAATCCCACCACAAAGGAGTGATGCCTTAAAGGGACCAAGCCTCGCCTTAATAGACATAACCATGACCCTGACCTGGTCTGACCACTAGGCATTACCTTCATGTTAGTTTATTTTGTAGGACATCAATGGAAGTTAGGAGCTGTTGGACCACCAAGAACCTTGGGTCAAATTTCAAGTGTGTTTGGGCCACACGTTCTCTTCTTCCAACCCAGACTCCATTACCAATACAGGGGAGCCAGGACCAAATGACATACTTGACTGTGTCCAAGCCACAAATGACCATCAACCAACATGGGCAGACCTTGTACTTAGGGGTGTGTGGGCCGCACCTTTATTTCAAGTCTGACCACATGCTGTCTGGACTTCAAGAAATACAGGAGAAGATGATGTGAGTTAGCCCACAAGAAACCTTCTAACAAGAATGGACCCACTGTACTAACAAAAGCATTGGTGGTTTAATCACTGAATTTCCACGTATTACCTTAGAGATGTGTAGACTACACATACCTTTCACCCAGCTCAGGCAACCATGCTCAAATCAGGGAGTCAGGACAACCTCACAGCCTTCGTGACCATTTGGGTCACATTTGAAAATCAAATAACATGGGCACACATTGGATAGAGGGTGTGTGGGCCGCACCCAGGAATCCCTGTGCCCAGGGTTCATCAGGACTACAACAGATGAAGAACAGCACTTTGATCTCAAGTGTGACCTAGAGCACATACTACTCCAGGAAGGTTGGACACATTTTAACACCATGGGGTGGTGGTCTGCAGAATGACATCATGGAAAAAGACCATGAAGTGACATCAATGCGATCCTGCCAAGCCAATCAATGTCAGTGTGAGTTGGGAGCTAACTTACCACCATGAAGCCTGGGTCAAAATTAACTTTGAGGCTTGTGGACCTCACCTCTCTTCATCAAACTCAAGAGATAAGCTTAACTAAGAGGACCCAGGACCACAAAACATGGCCTTCATGATGTCTGGGTCACACTAGAGAAGCAACCTGGGCAGACTTTGCCATGATGGGTGTGTGGGCCGCACCCAAGTGTCATTATTTGTCCAGGTACTATCTTGTCTACAAGAGACCCAGGACAAGATGATCTCATGTGTGACTTAGGCAACACCAAGACCTCACAGGCAATTGGAACCACCACAACAGCCAGCATTAGTGGTCTGCTATGTGACATCAGCCTCATAAACTTCACAAGCCTCACAAGACTGTGGTCCAAACCCTCTTAGACTGACATCCCAGGTTCCCTCCCCACTCCCTGTTGACCTTTGTCCTCAACCTGACCTGATTAGAAACATCAAGTAACCCATTGGGTTAAGAAGGTGATGGACCAGAAGTACAGACAACTTTAATGCTAATGAGTAATGAGAAATCTTGAAGGCCCTCCTCTGGAGGAATGTTTTTGGCTTGTTCACTGTCTAGAAGTAGTTACTGAGTATTCCTCAAAATCTCAAAAGAGCCTACCTAAAGAAAGATGGAATTATATAGTGATTTCTACAAATCTCTGTCTTCATATTCTGTATATAAAACAGTTCAGAAGCAGTGTAGTGTTATATTATTCTTTATTGTGCATTTCATGCTGTAGCATTGTGTATACAGTATTCAATAAACATGAGGTTCATCTGCAACCATGGTTTATCCTGGAATGCTCATTTTGGCCCTTTCCCTATACTTCTAACAGAAGGTTTTCAGAATTGGATTGAAGATTTAAAGACCAGGCTGTGACGGTCATTGACAAACAGCAAGTGTGGGTAGCTAGCACATCTCTTTCTCACCTGCTGTGTCCGTGTAGACAACACATATCTGAATACTCAGACCTCATCCTGAAGATCACTGCACCTCTATCCATGCTTTATATCTTTAAGCTGGAGTCTCTCAAGGAAAACTAAAGAAAAGGTCTAAGTAGGCAGGAGTGCTTCCCTAGTCATGAAATCACTGTGATAAAATTTCCTAATGGGAGGGGCTGCTATCCCTGCTTTCCGGCTCCAGAATCAGATTAGCACCAATTTCTAGAGAGTTGCTGATGACGGGCTGCAAGGCAGGGAAGGAACAAAGGTTCTGTGTGGGCCACAGGGCACCAAGAATCTGGAAAGTTTCCCAGTGAGACTCCACATGAGGATGAATGCACTCCCAGTGAAATCCCATGCATGGACCCTAAACACAGTCAGGTCCAGATTCCTGTTAAAGGAACAGTGAAATGTGCTGTGCTCCTTCAATTAGAGGAACTAGAGGCAGACATGTTGCAACTCTTAGACTTGTCCCTGATGATCTTACGAAGTTTAGGTGGCAGATTTGTTGGAGAATTCACTGGAAAAATACATAGATCTCTGCCTCCCCTCCCCTGGCCTTTGTCAATGTACATTCCTCTCTGGACCCTACAGACTTTTGTGGAAAACATCCTGTGGCTTTTAATGATCTGGTAAATCAACAGCCCTTCTTTACAGTTGGACATCCACGGACTCAGGTCTTTTCCTTCCATCTAGGTCTGATTCACTCTGTTTACCTTGCACATATGCTATCCCTTCAGAAATAAGAGAGCCCATCAGATAGTATGGAAACAAAGGCCAACAATCAAATGTTTCACTGTCTCTTGCATAGACTTTCAGGTGACATTCTAAGGAGTTCTGAGCTGCAGCTAGCTGACTGCCCCTACTCCTGGACAGAAGCTTTCAGACTCTGGATACAATGCCCTTGGTTATGCATCAGAGGGAAGGATGTTTGCAGTTCACAAATATCAGTAGTTATACATAAAACAGACCACCCAAAGAAGGGGTCACCTTTCCTAGTGATAGTACTGGATCATCTTAACCAAAGCTTTTATCACATCCCATTTGCCTATATATGGATTAATTTCGTGATTCAAAAAATGGTGAGAACTCCATCAGTGAGCCTTGGTGTGTGAACATGGAGGTTCTACCACAAATTATTTGGGTTTCTGAGCACGGGCTCAAACCTAATACAAAAGAATACCTGGCTATGTCCTGAAATCAATGGAGCCTGGATGAAACCTAAGTAAGAGAACTTCAGGACAAAGCCTGACTGCAAAGAGGCCCTGTCAGAATATGAACCCATAGCAGTCAGGGGCACACTCTAAACCCCAGGAGTCAGGGATCAAACCCTGACCCTGCATTATCCCAGAATGAA